ACGCGCACGCGCACGCGCACGCGCACGCGCACGCGCCCGCGCACGGCGTCACGCGCACTGCGCCGCAGCGCGCGCAGCCGCTGCACAGCGCACGCGCACACGCCACGCGCGCAACTGGCACGCGCACACGCACAGGGACCGCACAGCGCACCGTCCGCGCACATCACAAAAACGCACAACGGCAACTCGCACGACGCGCACGCGCCGCACGCGCACACTCGCTAACGCTGCACGCTACACACCGCACACTCGCACCGCGCGCACGCGCACACGCGCACGCTGCACGCGCACGCTCGCACAACGCCACAAATCCGCCACGCAACGGCAACGCGTCACGCGCAACGCGCCGCGTCACCGCACGCGCACACGCACACACACACATGCACACACACACACGCACACGCACACACCACACGCACACCACACGCACACACGCACATGCAAACGCACACACGCACACACGCACACACGTACACACGCACACACGCGCACACGCACACACGCACACGCACACGCACACGCACACGCACATGCACACGCACACGCACGCCCACACGCACACGCACACGCACACGCACACCCACACGCGCGCACACACACGCGCGCACACACACACACGCGAACACACGCGCGCGCACACACGCGCGCGCACACACGCGCACGGCACACGCACACGCACACGCACACGCACACGCCCACGACGCACACCTACACGCACACGCACACGCACACGCACACGCACAACGCACTCCAACTTTCCCACCACAACCCCCCCACACCACACACCACACGCACGCACGCACACAAAACCACACGCACGCTCGCACGCACGCACCACACACACACACACAACACACGGCATGCAAGCACGCACTGCAAGCACGCACGCACGCCACGCACGCACGCACATACACACATACACACATACACACATTACCACATTACACACACACACACACACACAGCGCACAGCACGCACGACGCACTCACACACACACACACACACACACGCACGGACACACGCACGCATACACACACACACGCACGCAGGCACGCACGCACGCACGCACATACACACATACACACATACACATACACACATAGATACACACACACGCACGCACGCACGCACACACATACACACACACATACAGACATAGATACACACACACACGCACACATACGCTGACGCACTCGACGCAGACAAACAGGCAGACTGGCAAAAGGGGGGGCGGGCAGACTGGTTTGAACTACAGGCAGCGCGAAACCAACCAGAGGCGGGGGGGAGAGAGAGAGAGAGAGAGAGAGAGATAGAGAGAGAGAGAGAGAGAGACAAACCAAACAAACACACAACCAGCGAAAGAGAGAAAGAGAGAGAGAGCGAGAGAAAAATAGAGACAGAACGAGAAACAATCGAAGGGTGAGGGAATCATAACAACAAAGGGTAGCCCATGATTGGGTGATTTCCCCACGCGACCCCCCCCCGCCGCCGCACAAAGCCGACGAAATCACCGAACTAGGGCGGAACGGTCGACAAACCTGGCCCGCGGGGCCCCAGCGGCGGCAGGCCGCAGCACGCACGTGGCACCCAGGGTCCCCCAACTGGAGCCTCTTCCCTGTGGGAATCCCACCAGCCCTTTGGGCGTGAGTGGTTTAGAGAGCCCCCTCTGTCCTCAACCCCCCAACCCCCCTTCTTCCCCTTCGGGGAGGGGTTTACCCCTCCCCCTACCCCCTCCCCCTGGGCCTGGACAGGGAGTCCCGCGGGTGGCCAGGGTTTTTTTTTTCGACGCCTGGGAGGGCCAAAAAACGACGACCCTCACGAGGATTCTGGCCCCGACGGGGGGGCGCTCTTGTAGCCCCCTCCTCTTCTGTGAAGCCAAAATCAGTGCTTTTACGAGTGTTTTGGCTCCATTTTGGCCTCCCGAGGGGGCCGCGCTCATCTTCCTTCCTAGCAACATCATTCATTGTACGATGGTTTTGGGTTCATTTTGTCCTTCTCAGGGGGTAGCGCTCATTTGCGCTTCTGAGGAGGTCGCACGAGGCCCCCAAGAGGCCCCAAGATGCCCCCAGGAGGCTCCCAAGAGACATCCAAGAGGCCACCAAGAGGCCCCAGAGCCCCCAAGAGGCTCCCAAGAGGCCCCCAAGAGGCCCCCAAGAGGCCCCCCAAGAGGCCTCAAGAGGCCTTCAAGAGGCTCCCAAGAGGCCCCAGGAGGAGCCCGAACGACTCACACCAGGACGAGGGGCCCGAACGACTCACACCACGAAGAGCCCGAACGACTCACACCACAAGGAGAGGCCTCGAACGACTCACACCACGAGGAGCCCGAACGAGTCACACCAGGAGGAGGGGCAGCGCTCATACAAGCCCCCCAAGAGGGCCCCCAGAGGTCCACCAGATGGCCCCAAGAGGTCCCCAGATGGCCCACAGGAGGCCCCCAGGAGGCACCACGAGGCCTCCATCAGGCCCCCAAGATACCCCCAAGAGGTGCCCAAGAGGCCCCAAGAGGCGCCGAAGACGCCCCAAGAGGCCTCCGAGCGGCTTCGAAAAGACATATACTACTACTTCTTCTCCCACGATTAGTACTACTTTTACTACTAGTGCTACTCATACTCTTTTGACTACATCATCTCGTCCTACTACAACTACAACTACTCTTACGACTACTACCATATCTACTCGCACTACTATGAGTCCTACTACTACTAGAACTACTACCACTACTACTACTACTACTACTACTACTACTACTACTACTACTACTACTACTACTACTACTACTCCTACTACTACTACTACGACGACTTCTACTACTACTACTACTACTACTACTACTACTACTACTACTACTACTACTACTACTACGACTACTACTACTACAACTATTATTACTACTACTACTACTACTACTAGTACTACTACTGCTACTCGTACTGGTACTACTACTACTACTACTACTACCACTATCACTACTTATTACTACTACCACAACTTCCATATAGACCACTTCTCTAATGACTGCCTCTGTTACTCCGGCAACTCGTGCGACGACGACGTTGACGACTACGTTTGCTACTACCGTTCATACTGGGCATACCACTACTACTACTACTACTACTACTACTACTACTACTACTACTACCACTACTACTACTACTACTACTACTACTACTACTACTAGTACTACTACTACTACTACTACTACTACTACTACTACTACTACCTACTACTACTACTACTACTACTACAACTACTACTACAACTATTACTATTACTACTACTACTACTATTACCTACTCACTACTACTACTACTACTACCACAACTTCCATATAGACCACTGCTCTATACTTCTCTGTTACTCCGGCAACTCGTGCGACGACGACGTTGACGACTACGTTTGCTACTACCGTTCATACTGGCATACCACTACTACTACTACTACTACTACTACTACTACTACTACTACTACTACCACTACGACTACTACTGCTACTACTACTACTACTAGTACTAGTACTACTACTACTACTACTACTACTACTACTACTACTACTACTACTACTACTACTGCTGCTACTACATACTACTACTACTACTACTACTACTACTACTACTACTACTACTACTACTACTACTACTACTAGTAGTAGTAGTAGTAGTAGTAGTAGTAGTAGTAGTAGTAGTAGTAGTAGTAGTAGTAGTAGTAGTAGTAGTAGTAGTAGTAGTAGTAGTAGTAGTAGTAGTAGTAGTACTATCTGCCTGAAAAACATGTCGGCATGCTTCGCAAGAGTTGCTGCTGTGAGATGGGCTGGTGGGGATACGCGAAGCGTAAAGAATTCCGAGACCCGCCTGAGTTTCCCAGGGAGGTCCTCGGACCAGTTCAGAAGTTCCCAGAAGGCCTCGCGACGGTCCCAGGAGGCTGCCCCAGGCAGGTTACTCCCCCCCTCTGCTTCTGCATTTTCTGCTCCTCCTGCTCCTCCTCCCACTGCTTCTCCCCACTCCGCTTCTTTCCCAAACCCTTGCGCCAATGCAACGCACCGCCCTCTCATGGAGAACCCCACCCGAGCCGAACACCAAGCGCTCGAAGAACTCCCCGAAACATCACTCAAGCCGTGAAAATGCCATCCAGCACGCTTCACATGGAGTTACCCAACACACCTTTCTGTTTCCGTTTCCAATGCTCGGCCTCTCCGTTTCCACTGCTCGGCCGTTCCGTTTCCAGGGTTGGGATCAGTATTTCCAGGGTTGTGGAACAGCCGTTCCAGGGTTGGCGGGTGCTCAAACTTCCCACAGTGGGACTACGTTTCTCGTGTTGGGAGAGTAACCGGTCTTGAGGGAAATTTGTGGGCCTTCCCCCAGGACCAACGTTTCATTCACAATCTTTGTTCGACGGTCTCAAAATTCTGGAATGTCTCTAGAAGCCGGAAACGGCTAAAAACCTCAGGACCCGCTTCCCTCAAGATCGATTGCTTCATGGCGAACGAGTATAATAGTGAGGGGTGACGCGGGAAAGAGCCAGAAGAGAGAAGCTGGGCGAAGAAGGGGGAGACATGAGAGACGAAATCAGAACGCTTGATACCGTCAAAGATTGCGCTATCTCGGGGCCTGTGGCTACCTCTCCCTCCCCCTCCATTTTGTTCCTCCTCCGTCTCCTCGGTCTCTTCTCCCGCTCATCCTCCCACAAACGCGCCTCGAGGCTCCGAAAGGGCCCAGACGGGTGCCAAGCCTGGCTTCTGTGGCCACCTCGCTTCTGTCGCCTTCTGCTGATCTTCTTGGCAGGGGAACCATGAGGAGGGAGGAGTGAGGCGGAGGAGAGGGACCAGATGCAGAGGCAACGCGGATGGGTCAGGGGAGTACAGTAAAGGGGAAGAGGAAACACCCGTGAGGAAGACGGGGAAAAAGAGGAACATGGAAGTATGGAGAGAGAATGATCGATCAGAAGGGCGGGCGGGCGAAAATACTTCTTGGGGGGGGGGGGCTCTTGGGCCGATTTGGAGTTCTCTTAGGCCGTCTGGAGCTTCTGAGGGAGTCCCATTGGCACGTCTGGAGGCCCCTGTGTGGCCGTCCTGGCCCCAACCTTGGGCGGTCTTCGGGCTCTCCTGCGGCACTGGTGGTCCGGGCTGCGCAGGCCGTCTTTGACGTGCGGAGGCCCGAGAAAGACACTGGTCCCGCCTCCGTCACATGTGCCTGTGGAAAACTGTTTCGAGAGGGCAGAGCACGACAAGGATGCTGAGGGCACGGACCAGGCTGGGACATCAAGAGATACATCACAGCAACGCACGGCAGTCTGGCACACCTGGAAAACAACCGCTTCGCGACGCCAGCAAAGACGTCTTGGCACGAGCCGTTTACGCAGAATGCCGTCCATCGCGAAAAAGACAACAAGCTCCTTGAGTACGGAAGTTCGACAACAATGAGGCCGAACAGATCAAACTCCATGCATTCACAACGTAAGAACCGACGTGGCGCTTGGTAATCGCTCAGGCAAGGGAACCTGGAAACTACGCTGGCAGGACCGTGCCTTCGCTTAGCATGGCTGCCGTCCTGACATAAAAAGGAGGCGACCTAGCAAGAAAAAAGTGGGGATAGGAGATGGCTGCTGACAGCAAGGGTGAGGACGGAAGAGGGGGACGAGGACTGGGGGAGCGGAGAAGGCTGGTGACGGGAGGGATGAGGAGGGGAATCTGGACGAAGAACATTTGCTTTCCAAGCCTCAGGGAAAAATGCCCACAACTGCCTGCTTCCAGCATCTGAACGCAACGTGAACCCTTGGCAACACGCTTGCTGACTCCAACTGTAGTCTTTGGATGGCAAACGCTTGCCTTGCGCCGGCTGCCATGGCAAGATCCCGTACCAAGGAGCGGGAGGCACTAATGCCAACGGGTGGGGATGGGGGGCGGTAGCGTGTAACTGAACAAAGCAACGCTGCCTTGCACAATTCTGCATCCCGTCCACAAAAAGGCCAATCTAGTTGCGTGACTCCGTGAAGCTTCGTGCCTGTGAGATCATGGTGGGCATATGCTCATGAAACCCAGGCTGAGGGACAACGACAGGGGAGACCAGCCCAGGAGCCAGAGTCGGCGAAACATCGCCGATAGCAATGGGGCCCCGATAGCAAAAACCCATGTTCCTGGGCGGGGTGGGCCATCGGGCCCCTAATCGGCAATCACGAGGGGCGACTGGGACTCGATGCGCCCCCCCCCGAGTCTCCCTCCCCTCGCGCTGCCCCTGAGCACTCTTTGGTGGCCTTGCCGAAGAGCGAACGCGGAGCACACGTCTCGGCACTGCGAGGCGGCAGCGCCGTTGGGGAACGCACGCCCGACAACAAAAGGAACAAACAACTTTGTTACTAAGCCGTGTGGCGCACACTTGAGCAGTGGAAAGGAACTAGCGAGTGACTGTGCTCTCGCGCCGTACTTTTCCAGACGCTGGCCGACATGGCAGTAACCTTTGAAACATTGAGATTCCTTTGTAGAAGTGCATGCGCAGCGTGTCTATACAGCTCGCGCGCCCAAACCTGTCTAGGGCGGCCGCGACGGCGGACCGACGGCAGATCTCTAAGCTCCACGCTTCCAAACTTCAAGAGACATTGTCGCACGGGGTGGCCGTCGCCCAAGCGCGCAATATTTCCCAAAAGTGTGGCTGCCACTCCAGCGAAATATGACTTAGCCGGCTGTGTCTCGCCTGGCGTCACGAGACGTATGTAATAATGCGAACTACCTAAAACCTTTCGCAAACAACGTGCTCGGGATGCGTACTTGTGTTGACGTGTCCTGACGGTAAGTTCAGTCAACCGTCGGCATCATTGGTGCAAGAGAAGGCGCCAACTTTTGAACCCGCGTGCGTCGCAACGGCAGTCCGAAGGGCACCGTCTGTCAGCTCGTTGAGCCCACTGGATGCCGCCGCAGGTCCCGGCGCAATCGAAGCATCGAGAAGAAGCGCAGCCCGGAAGAGGGCAGTTCCCCTGCAAGCTCCTGGGCTTCCTGGACCTCCGTGCGTCCAGTCTTGACCGCTCTGGTGCCTTCGGCCGTGTTGCGAGGAAGCATCATTCACCTTCGGAGGTCCGCGCGGACTCCTTGGATCGGCGCTGGACCCTCGCTCCTTTGGGGCGTGGTGCAGTGTGGGGGGGGTCATTGAAGGGGTCATGGGACACTAGAAGAAATCCGCCGATCCGGCGTGTGAGTTTCTGAGAGCGTGGGCTTGAGCTCGCTCAAGCTTCGCTCTGGGGGGGGGGGATCCGGCGAATTATCCACGCATTTCAGTGAACGCTCCAGCGCGGGGGGGGGTCCAAGAATCGAGGGGGGGGAGCTCGAGCGAGGAGGAGGGAGGGGGTCGAACGGAGGGGGGGGTCGAGCTCAAGCGGGGGGAGGGGGGTCAGCAGGGGGGGGAGGGGAGCTCGAGCTAGGAGGGGGGGGAGGTCGAACGGAGGAGAGGGTCGAGCTCAAGCCGGGGGGGTCCGCGCGGGGGGGGGTCCAACGGAGGGGGGGGTCGGTCAAGCGGGGGGGGGGTCAGCGCGGAGGGGGGGGTCCAAGAATCGAGGGGGGGGGGGAGCTCGAGCGAGGACGGGGGGGGGGTCGAACGGAGGGGGGGTCGAGCTCAGCGGGGGGGGGGTCAGCGCGGGGGGGGGTCCAAGAATCGAGGGGGGGGGGGAGCTAGAGCGAGGAGGGGGGGGGTCGAACGGAGGGGGGGGATCGAGCTCAAGTGGGAGGGGGGGGGGGTCAGCGCGGGGGGGGGGTCCAAGAATCGAGGGGGGGGGGGAGCTCGAGCGAGGACGGGGGGGGGGTCGAGCTCAAGCGGGGGGGGGTCCAAGGAGGAAGCTCGAGCGGGGACGGAGGGGAGGGGTCGAGCTCAAGCGGGAGGGGGGGGGGTCCAAGAAACCGGGGAGGGCAGCGGGGGGAGGAGGGACGTCGTCGTCATCATCGTCCGTTCCCACACGCATCGAGAGCGCCCCGGATCGGCGGCACTGGCCGGAGGCCATTACAATAGACACAAATAACAGGATTCCCACTTTTTCCAATACTTTCTGTGTTTTTGTCTTCCCCCCCACCTCCCATATTTTCCCAACACTTTCTGGGGCATCAGCGATTAATTGTGTCTGTGTGTTTTTTCTCCATCTGAATCACGAGGGGGGGGCGAAGCGGCGTGCCCCGTCTGTGCCCCGCTCGGTTTTTTCGACCCCTCGGGTGCGCGACAGATGCGCCTCCCTGACGTCCTCCAATCTGTCTTTTCCCTAGCCATCCTGCGGTGTTGGATCCTCGTTTTGAGGCGACAGGCGTCCCTCGTCCCTCGCCCTCCTCCTCTCCTCCTCCCCCAGGGAGCTCCACCGAAGGCCTCACTGCCACCGCCCACATGCGTCCCCCACACCCATGTCGGCACATCCCTCACACGCTTCGTGGCCCCATGGGGAGCTCCACCGAAGGGCCCAGTGGCACAGTTCGCATGCGGTTCCACACCTATTTCACCACACCCCTCACACGTTTCGTGGCCCCATGGGGAGCTCCACTGCAGGGCCCCGTGGCAAAGTTCGCATACTGTGCTGTGCCTCCCCCATTTTGGCACACCCCTCACACGGTTCGTGGCCCAATGGGGAGCTCCAACGAAGGGCCCAATGGCAAAATTCGCATGTGGTTCAACTCTCGTTTTGGCACACCCCTCATACGGTTTGTGGCCCAAAGGGGAGCTCCACGGAAGGGCCCAGTGGCAAAATTCGCATGCGCCCCCCACAAACATTCTGGCACACCCCTCACACGTTTCGTGGCCCATGGAAAGCTCCACCGAAGGGCCCCGTGGCATTTTGGCACACTCTCAGACGTATCCTGAGCCCATAGTGTTTTCCTTCCGAGGGTTTTTGTTTGACAGCCCCGGGGCCCCGTCAGGGCCCACAGGTCACCCAGCTTCGCCCCCACGCGCCGCCCCCCCACCCCCTGCAGAACAACAGCCGCTGCGGCCCAGACTCTGACACGCGATGCGCGATTATCTTCCCGCCCCCACGGGTGACATGAGGGCCCCCCAGGGACCGAAAACAGCCGAACACCTCCCGTCCTGCTTTTCGTCGCGACGCGAGCACGGTCCCTGCAGCCAGGGCCGCAGCAAGGGGGACGCACCTCCCTGCGGCCCGCTTCGGGCAGAGAAGGGCGGCTGCAACAGGAGAAACCTACTTCAAAGGGCGCAGGGGGGCACAGACAAATCGTCACAAAATCCTTGATATCCAATCTTGTCCCATGTTTCCTGGATCTCCCCCCTTCAGGAAGGGGGAGGTCCTTCCCGCAGGGGGAGATCCAAGGGAAGGGAAAGGGAGGGGGTCCCCTCCATTTCCCTTGCTGTCTCAGGTTTTGACGGACATCCGCGTATTTGCGAGGCTTGTGCCGATCTTTCCCCTTGCGCATTCACTGGGCCCCTGGCTCGGGCAGAAGCGCCCTCGGCCGCGGCGGGCGGAGATTGCCGAGGGCGGCGTTGGGGCTACGCCCAGTGCGCCTGGACTAGCGCGGCGGCGCCGAAGAGCAGCGGGTTCCGCAGTCGGCCGCGTCCTGAGGGGGGCACGTTGCCCAAACATGTCCGCGTCGTGAACCATCGCGACGGGCGTTTACTGTGGCCGTTTGCGGCCTCCGTTGCCCCTCGCCAGGGCCCGCGACCGACAGGAACTAACTCGCCACGAGAAAAAGTCCCCTTGCCGTCGCTCGGACGTCCATTTCCCGTGCATTTTTCGGTTTCGTGCGTGTTTTTCTTTGCTCGATGGTCCAGGATGGTCCTCGACAATTCTCGCCGAGAACAAATGCACACGTCCGAGCGATGCCAAGTCCCAGGGGGCCCGTGCTGAACAACAGTCAGAATATTGCATGCTGACGGTCCTGGGGCCAGGCGACGGCCCCCGGATGCCGAACGTGCCTGGGCCCCCCCCGTGGAAACTCGTGCCCTGCCCGAGGGGTCCCGGGGGCGATGCGTCGACCGCCTACTGATCGCCACTCCGTTGGATCCGCGGGGGGGGGGCGCGTGCCGTTGGAAGGGGGCGAGATGGGGGGTCTCGGGGAGGTGGAGGAGGATGAAGAGGAGAAGGCGATGATTCGAGGGGCCCAAGGACACACACAGAAATACAAACAAACAAAAAGATTCCCCATGTTTTTCTATATGTTCTGGGTTTCTGTCTTCCCCCCCACTTCCCATATGTTCCCATATTTTCTGGGGATTCGAAGATTAATTGTGTCTGTGTGTTTCTTTCCCTCCTGAATGATGGCACCGACTGCAGATGCCGTCAGCCGAGACCAACGACAGCAGGCAGACGCGGGGAGGGCGGACCCCGACACGCCAGAAGAGAAAAAGGCCAACGAGCTGGCCGTCCGTGGCTGCCCCGAAGAAGGGTGAACGGCCCCTGGAGGCCTTGTAGAACTCCCTGTGAAACGACGCGAAGATCGGGACAAAATCGGATTGGGATAACTCGGAATCTCTGAGAATCGACGGGTTTGGAGGATGTATTGGGCGCCGCGGCCGCTCCAGAGCGTTCGGGAACGCTCTGAGAGCGCTCCGGAACGCTCTGGAGCGATTTATCCAGATCCTAGCCCTGTTTTACCCTGAGCGGCTGATCCCTGGCGGAAGCAACCTGGGACGGCCCGCGGCGCAGAACCTGGGGAGCCGGGGGGGCACCGCGGAGCAGCACGAGGAAACCCGCACATCGAGAGCAGATGATCACACACGGATGCTGCTCGACCAGACGGCCTTTACCACGCGGCTTTCGGCAGGAAGCTCAGCCACAGCCGCCGCGCCCGCCACCTCGAGAGCGATTCCAAAGGAGGGGGGGCGGACGGGCGCCAGCCTCGGCGAATGCCTGGTCTGCCGTCGCCACGGCGGCAGCCTTCAAAGGCTGCGCGGCCCCGCCCAAACCTGGGAAACAATGCTGGCCCCGGAAGGCCGACGCGCCCGCGGGGCGGCAGCGCCTACACGGCGTGGCCATGCGAGCCCCAACGTAACACTCGATGCACCGAGCCTCGCCGTTCGGATCACTGGTGAAGAAGAGGTGGCCGTGCACGCTGAGACGAAGCGGCGAGAGGGGGTGGCGCCGCGGCTGGAGGCGACGCGCTGCCTGTCCAACTCTTCTGGCGGCGGCCAAAAACAATTAGGAGCTAAATGTGTTCTGATTGCGCGGCTCGCTTGAACGAGTTCGCCCCCATCGCGCGGATGGGGGGCCGGCTCGGCAATGCAGTCGGCCCAAGCATTTCGGAGCCCAACCTACCACACCAACTTTCCGGTTCAATCGCCCGCTCGATCGTGAGATCGAAAGAGGCACGGGGGGGTCCCGTGCGCTGCATGGCCGTGAAAAACACGGCCAAACACGAGGGTGCCTACGCAAGCTGCAAGCGAGCCCAGGATCGGCCATCCTGGGCCAGCGGCGCAATGTCACTCATGTGCACCTTCAGCTCAGGAGTGGCCCTCAAGGCCCGAAGCGCGGCCGCGTTCTCAGCGCGCCCCGCGGTCCGATCAGGCTCCGCCAGGGGGCCGAAAACAAGCGCGACCGGGCTGGAGGCTCATATCATGCTGGACAGTCGACCAGCCGACTCGGCGGGCCCCACGAACCAAAGGGTCCCGAGCGCTTCCACCGCCAGAGGTCACGGGCACCCACGCGCCCCCCCCCCCCCCCCCCATCTCGCGGGTCTCAGCGCGCTCGGGCACCTGCTGAGCCTGGGCGGAAAGATCGGAAACCCAAAAATTGAGATACAGGGTGTTTCAGCTGCTTTGAAGGCCTCCCAATGGGAAGCACGGTTTCCAGACAGCCCCTCGGAACATCTCCAGCCTCTTGCTCATCGGGCCCGAACAGAACTGGGCCGTCCAGTCAAACGTGGCCAACGCAGTCGCCCAAGGATCCCCGCGCCCCGCACGCAACGGGGCACTGTTCCCCGAGCTCGGGCCGAGCGGAGCCGATCGCGGATCTCGAAGTCGGAGTCGAGCGGCGCGCTCCAACATCATGCGTAGCCCCCTGGATCGGCAGGTGAGACGCCAACTTCTGCGCCTGCCGGCGTTTGGCACAGCCCCCCGAGGCAATCCTCACTGCACGGGCGCCGCATGCAACGGGCCATATACCGCGCCGCGGTCCGAGCGCCCGTGGCGGGGCCCAAGGAGACTCCAGGCGATGCTAGCTAGCGCAAGAGGAACAGCAGGCGCTGGCTCCCTCGCAATAGCCCACGCGCGGTCGATCCAGTTGCCATCCTGCCCGCGCCCCGCTGGGAAGTGCACGGCCACCCCCTGCGAAGCAACGGTGTCGGCGCAGCAAGCTGGCCGCTGCATCGGAGAGGAGCGCATGACGCACCTGTCGCTGACTGTACACGTGCTCCGTCTTGCGCGCGGGATGGGCGCGCCCGCCAGCGTCGCAGCCGCAGCCCGCGTCTGCCGAAGTATGTCACCAGAAAGACCGTTTAGCCGCTCCTGCTCGTGGGCCACTGCGCGCCGAGCCCCTGCAAGCCACGTGCCGACAAATGCCTGCCAGACGCTGCCATGCACATCGCCGACCTCCGCTGCAACTGTCGCGAGGCCCTCATCATGGCCTTCTCGGGCTCGCGGAAAAATTGTACGCCCATCGTCTCGTGGCCAAAACTGCGCATCCGACCGCGGGGGCAAACGGGTCGGGCGCCTCGATGCTGGGCATGGCGCGTGGCACTAGCAACTGCGACACAGCCCGGCTTCTTGAACTGCGAAACGAAGATCCTGGAGTCCTGCGAGAAAGCCGCGGCGGCAGGGGCGAGGGCTCGCTCGCGCGCCGCCAAAAGACACCTGCGCCTTGCAACAATACGTCAACCACCAATGACCTGGGGGGAAAACCAGCGCGAAGCGCAGGGGCCTCATGCGAAGGGCGGCTCTTCACGTCACCACCTCGAAAATGCAGGCTGCGAGGGTGCAACCTGTCAACAGCCCCTGATAATATGCGAAACTGTCACTGAAAATGCCCTGACCTTTTAGACGGCGAGGGCAAGCATGCATCTGGATCGACAGTCAGTGCAATCGCGAATGGCTTTCCAAAACCATGCCTTCCTTGAAAACCTGAGTCGGCCTCCCACGTCGAAATCCTCGGACATATCCAGCCGAACTGTAGCCGAGACAAACCCACGAGTAACAACAAGCTCATATTACGTGCTGTGGGGGGCGGCGCTGTCCGACAATGTGCGCCGCTCGCAGTTGCCACGCGCCCGCTCGCACTTGCGATCGAACTCCTGCCGGCGAGAGGGCCCGCGGCGAAGACAGCCGCAAGCCCGCGTGGAGGCGCGGGCCGCCGCGGCGAGTCCATGCCCAGCATCGAGCGCGGGGGCGCAAGCAATGATTACCAGTGCCCAGTCCACTTGCCACTCACAACAAACCGCATTTTCGGGGATGCCCGATGAGCTGGCGCAGCCCAGACGGGCGCGTAGACGTCTTCTTTGGCAAACTAAGACTCACTTCCCGGAGCTGGGCAACCGCTGCCGCGAGCGAGCTGGGCCAATATTCGGCCCTATGATGCTGGGCGCGAGGTTGGAGCTCATGGGTAGACCAAACCCTCGCCCACTCAGAGAGACCACCATCGACTCTGGCGCGTGGTGGGATTTTTTAATATATATATGTATATATATATATATATATATATATATATATATATATATATTGAAACAAACATCGCCAGACTCAGCAGCTGCCGCGGCGCGCGCGCCCGCCGGGGGCAAAGCGACCGAACCGAGAGCCCGCGCCCGGCAAGCGCGCAGAGCACCGCATCAGCGCCTCGAAAGAAAACCTCTTGTGACCAGTCGGCCCGCTGCCTGGCCAAGCGAATGTCTTCGACCAAAAGTTCGCCGGCCTCCGCCAGTGCCGAACGGGGAAGGTCGCCGAGCCCGAGCCCCCCATCGTGCCTGGGGGCCCATGGCGGAAAAAGGGCTCCGCTGCATCGGGGAGCGGGCGAGCGCGGCTTTGCCGCGCCGAACGTTGCCGTGGAAGCCTGCCGCCTCGCTCAACGCACGCAAGATAATAGAACGCGGCGCACCGCCGACGCTGCCCACGTCGGCCGTCAGGAAGGCGTTGGAAACTAGGGCCCGAAAATCGCCCCGCTCACGCTGCACATGACACATCCAACGAAATCCAGTGCGCCGCACCAGCGAACAAGAAAAGGGTGCGCGCCCGCTTCGGAAGGGAGCGCCACGTCAGCTGCATCCGTGCAAACCGAAGCTGCCCATCCCACCACTCAGACGCCTTCGCCCGAGAGCGATCATGTCACAGGGACTGGCGAGGACAATGCCGCGCTCGATCTGACCCCGCGCTGCCGCCAGGCCAAATGCATCCTGTGCCCGGAAACGACAGGTCCGTTTTTTACCGGTTCCGTTTTGCCGTTTTGCCGGTTCCGACGCCGTTTTTTACCGGCTTCATCGCCGTTGTTTGACCGGTTCCGGCTCCGGTTCCAAACCGTTTTTTTTGCCGTTTCCGCTCGCCGATTTTTTGCCGTTTCCACTTTCAAGGGGCATTTTTGGGGACATGCACGGTGAAAAAACGGCCCTGCCGTTTCCGGGGCCCACAAAGCCCGCGC